TTCACACCAGAATCCAATATCCAGATACAGACAGCGTGCAAAATTAGCCTCTAAATACTGCGCATACAAAATTTGCTTAAAAAATACAACATTCAACTACCTTTATGTAAAACAGTACGGGAACTACTTGCGACAGTCTCATTTCTCTAGGACAGATAACTAAATCAGTTACACCAATGATTTTTCACGTATGCAGGCCTTGCAATCAGTGCGGACAAAACAGAAGATGCCAAAAGTGCATCTTGCAGAATGGCAGCAGCAGAGCTTTCCCTGCTGTATTTAAAGTGTTTTCTACAGTCCAAAATGAAAACTGGCAAAACAGAGGCTTTACTTTAGGATGCTCTATGCTGGCCATTTAACTGAAGCTTTTAACTTTCATCTCCCTCTTTTTGTTCTCTGAGCTCTCTTCTACTCCGCTTCCACGTTGACATCCTATCTTTTGCTCCCCTGGAAGAAGGCTACAATATTCTTCTCTTTGTTTATGTTTCTCTGCTTTTACATCCCCCCACTTCTGTCTCTTGTATTGCCATTCACACATTTTGAGAGTATTTAAAAATGCTACAAAAATTAAAACATTTCTTGCTCTTGTGGGCTAGCTGACAGATCATCGACAAAGTCCGTGCTCTAGTGATGCAGCTCTTGATAAACCGGAAAAAGGTGAGGAGAAACGAACAGGAGACAATACTGATGATTTTAAATGGTTAACGAGCTAGGAAAAAGGGTGTACAAAATACTCCCTTGCAGCTTTCAAATTTGCCTCTGATGGATAGGGTTGTCATATAGAAACCTCATGGGCTGGATGTCTACCAGTACTGTTTCCATGCCACTAATTATGTGCCTGATGCTTATTTTGTCCTTTTCCCCTCCTTTTCTGTTAAGCTACTTGAGCACTATTTTCAGCTATCGGAAATGACACTAAAACGTTAATGTGGAAGTTCTCCTTTTAGCTAAAGTTTGATGGAGAACAAAAGAGCAGACAAGACAGCTCAGAAACCCTCTAGGCATATGCAGCATCCCCAAAACATTTGGTTTCCATCCTCAGCTGCAAATTATAGACAAGACGGATGTGTTTTAAACAAAAAAAGGTCTGTTTGACTTCACTCTTGCAGAAACGCTAATACTGAACCACTGTCAACTGTGTGAATCAAGAAGGGGACAGCCAGGAAAGAGAATTTCCTTAAGAATAATGAGATCCTGGTAATTAATTCATAAAAAAAAATTAGTAGCTGAATAGTTTTTTTCCCCCTGTGTTGCTGTTTAGCAAAAATACTGAGCCTTGGGTTTTTGCCTGAACTCTCTAGAGACAAAGTGTTATTTTTTTTATCCACCATGCAGATGTCTGCAGGAAGAGAGAGCATATTACTTAGGTGTCCTTTTCTCTCTTAACATAGTCATAATTCAAATTTGGACTGTTTTCCAAACATACTAAAATGATAATTTGTTAGTAGGAAGAAAGACTGCCGCTTCCTGGAACTGCCAACATTTTGTTTTCTAAGAAACGATGTTGTTAGGCGTGTAACATCTTTATACTTTTCATAACATCCCGTAACAGCCTAGTCAGTATAAGAAATATAATTACTTCGTTTATCAGGTATCTACAAATGCTAGAAACACGCTTTTTTGAAAAAGATGTTCTCTTATGCTCTCTAAGCTTGACAGTTCCAACTAATTAATTTCCTTGCAGAAAACTAAGTAGAGCTTAGGTTTAATTCCAAATAATACAAGCTGTATGTATCATATTCATTTTCTGAAAGTTTTATTATTTCTTTTGGGAGTATGTGTCCCATACTCTCTGTGGGTATTAAGTGCCAGTTTAAGAAAAAAACCTGCTGCGACTCCACTTTCCAAGAGAAACCAGGCCCATGACTTTTAAGGAGATTCCAAATCTCAGTAAATGGATGCAGCAACAGTGAACCAGAGCAAAGGTGAAATTTTCAAGCGTCTAAACCAACTTAAAATATAAAGCCAACTGAAACAAAACGTAGGCAGCTAAGTTATACAGCTTATTTTAACAATTTTACTTGCATTTCAAAGTGTATTAAACCTTTTAATATCACACTGTGTTATACTGCTGGACCTTCAGAGAACAAAACGGTAACTGTATTGGCACAATACAGCATATTTTGTCTTAAGATGCTTGTAGAATTCTCTTGTAAAGTTTTTTTTAAAGCTAATTCAAGTTATTTTTTAAAGCTGTTTTACAGAAGTGATGCATTCATATCCCAGGGTCTCCATTTGCAGTACAAGACTAATCGCTATTTGTAGATTCAAAACAATACCGAGTCTCTAGCATTCTAGTAATTATCAGAATACCTGAATGTGTAAATTTGTTTAAGATAGTCTTTTAAGGGTGAGAAAGGAAAAGTATTTTATTGTTTTTCAGGGCTGGAAAAGATGAGGCAACAACTATTTACAACCTTTGCTCATATGGGATTTTAGAGTCCTTGGCAAGAGCTGAAGATTAGTCACAGAATACCTGAAGGATTTCGGAGGGAAAGCGTAACACTGAGTTTAACTAGCCTATTTTAGTGTTATTATTTTAGAGGGGGGAAAAAAAAAAGGGGGGGAAAACTGCTATGAATCACCCACTGCAAATTTTATGAATTTATTTCCTGAAACTCAAGCAGCATAATCCTTTGATTAGCATTTGGAAGACTGAGATGCTTTAATTATTTCAACAACCTTTTGCCATTGCCTTGCTATGAAACACGAGGAAGTCATTTACGCTTCAGTTCTGACGGAGGTAGGCAGAATTGGGATCTCACTTTCAGAAAAGCCAGGAGGTTACGATGCCAGCCCTAATTTGCCTGAACAACTAGATAAAACATTTTCATCCCTACAAATAGGACTAATTTCATCTGCTATCTGAAAGTTAGGCCTTTCATCTCTCTCAGGATGAAATAAGTCACTTTCCGAAGCTATTTATGCTTGCTGGTTATTGAGAAAGCCTCTGAATACTTCAGGTAAGATGCCAAATTTTTAAACGGATAAAGTTGGATTATTCTATGTAAGACACTAAGAGCCATGCAACTACATTTTAGCAGTCGTTTTCTGCACAACACTGGCCAAATGAATCACACCGGAGTGGACGTTTGGCAAGTGCAACTGCATTTGGCACATGAGCTTGCTAAACGCACCTGGCATAGCATTCAGTATTTAATGGGTTAATGTTCAACGCAATATTTCAGTATCAAACTAAAGCATACTGGAATATGTATAATTATAACCTTGACAGAAGCAAAATAATATCACGGTCTGCAGCACTGCCAAAGCAAACGTTATGTAAAGGTCAGCTGGAAAGAATGCCAAGATCCCAGTTAATTAGAACCACACTGTCAATGAAGTCGGGAATTAAGGTTGTTCCTTACTGAAGGAGAGGTACACTTCAGTTCTTCAACAGCAAAACAGCCCAAAAACCGGTATTATTTTTCTCTTGCCCTTTTTATCCTCTCTACAATGGCATCTTCAAATTACTGTGTTTGCTGTACAGGATGTGAAGTTCTGAATGAGTCACCTATAGAAGTAGGCAGCAAGCGTAACCCCAAGCTAGAAAGTTGCTCTATCTTATTATCAATTTCCATTTTGGCTTGGTACATTATAAAAAAGAAAAAACACCTAAGATGGTGTGACACTGCCACAAAGACCTGTTTTCTACTCTACGTTTCAAAAATCCCTACAAAGTATTAGCAGACAGTCTGCATCTCTTCCACTGGAAACTTATCTCCTAATCCTTATAATTGTATGGACAGGAAAGTGTAATGGATGCTAGTAATTTAGGGGCATTCACAAAATGTTCCGCAAAAAGCTAACTTTTATAAAGAACATTTTCATAAAATCCCCAAAGTCACGTGCACGCCGCGCTTGCGTCACCGAGATGACTCCACGCGTGTAATGGACAGTTCTGTCCTCTTCAAAGGAACTAATTCATTGGAGGAACACAGCACTTAATCTTCCTTCATACAGATCACCCACTGCCCTTTGGGGACAGCGGAGGAAGGGTGGCACTGCAATATCGAGCAGGAATTCTGGTGCTGCTCGTTTCCTGTGCGTGTCCACCACTTCTGTTCAGTAATTTCCACTATGGGTTTAAACATTTCTTTTCTTTTCTTTGTATGCGCGTGTGGTCTGAAGGCCGCTACATTAATTAGGTTTATATATATATTTGTCATTCTGTCTTCCCACCCATATTTTTAAGGAAAGAAAACACATTCAGTAATAAAATGAATGTTATGTGACTGTTTATAAGAAACAGCCATCTGAAATTAGCCCTAAAGCCTTTATCTAACAAAAAGTTATTACATGCAAGAATATGCTATAAAAGTAAGGTATTTAAACTCTCAGACAAACCTCTCCTGAGAAAAATCTGTCATTGCCAAACATAACTTCCACATTTTCAAATAAATTAATTGTGAATTGAATTAGATAGTCATATACGATAGTCTCTCCTTGCCTCTTCCCTCCTTGCCCCCCTTTTTTAAAGGATCAGGCCTTTCAACAGGGAGCTACAACGCAACTCCTCATAATACAATCCAGGTTGCTCAGCCTCTGATAAGGACCCGTCTAGTATCCACTTAGGAACTGGGCAAATACTACAGATGTATGAATCATCACGGACAAGGCAGCTTTGTATCATACCATCCAAAAAGAGTTACTCTTGACTCACCTGGCATAGCTAGCTGCTACAACGTCCAGTTACACAGCAGCAGGCCATAAACAGTGACATGGCATGTCTGAGACAGCAGCAGGAAGGAGCAATAGTGCATATGCTGCACTACATGCACACTATACCCTGGAGATATGTAATGCAACGTTTTTAAAAAAGGAACTCATTAGGCAAAATATTCAGAATATTCCCAATTTATGTTTAGCTTCATCTAGTACCTCTTTGGACATACAGCACCTTACAAGAACCTCACTATATTATGTAACAAGAAGCAAGGAGGCATAGGAGAGAGAAGAAAGTGCTTTTATACCAATTTTACCCGCTCTTAATAGCGCACCTTTTTCTGACTAGCTGGTGACAAGCTTCTGTAGAGCTTCTTGCCCTGTTTGCCAGCGTTCCAGATGGTGAACGACGCCCAGTAGCTGAGGACTCTGTCTTCAAGAAACCTGACTCGGTGGTTCCAGATAGTTCCCCTGGACAATTAGAAAAACGGTAGAGTTTAAACCCCTCGAACAAAGATCATCAGGATAGGTTCAAAATTGTAGTTGAACAACTGTTATTTTCAAGAAACTTGAAAAAGAAATAGAAAAATCACATCAATATGAAAAACTGTGGTGGCGGAAATCAAATGCAACACTGACAATTCCAGCCGCCCACCAAGCACCCTGTTTGTACCTACCTGTAACCAACATGTGAACTGCTCTGTAACCCTGCAGTATATCCCGGCAAGCTAGCTCCCAAACCCAAGATGTACTCTTCCATCTGCCCATGCATTCATTCCCCTTGCTCAATAAAAATTTGAAATCTCAAATTCAGAACTCCATTCTACCCCCACGTCTACCCCCATGTCTACATGCTAGAATGAAAGTCATTTTACATCAGGCTGTCCAGGCCAAGTCTTCAACAAGTCACTTTTCAAAGCTCAAAATCAATGGACAACTGTATAGGAACAAATAAACACTGAACTCCAAAGTCACACAACTCCGGAACAAGCAGCACTTACAGACGATTCAACACTTGTTGACTGTGCACACACACGAGAAACAAAATTAAATGCAGTGATTTAATTTGGAAGTCTCCAAAGTAGTATTCAGTAGTGATATAAATAACTGATTGTGCCTTTTTATTGGAAGACAACCTTCCAATGCTTCCAAAAGCTGTACGTTTGATAAAAGGTCTTAAAACGTGCTTTAAAAGAGAGCAAGTTGGTTCTTTTTGGTCTGTGTCCAATTATATCTTTATATTTTCACATGTGAAATAAGTTTCACAATATAGTTTAAGCCAAGCGGTGCAGGTAAACAACTGTTAGACTAACACTAAATGATGACCCATGTGGCTTTGGAACCAGTAACAAGGGAACACCCAACATCTTCAAACACTTTAGACTTTGGATCATCAACGAGTTACAAAGTGTGTTTTCAGAAAGAGAAGACAACTTCAGGAAAAGCATTTTCTTCACGGCCCATTCATCCCAGCTGGCTGAATTAATTCTCTTTGACAACTTCAACGTTTTTTTAATTTGGTGAGCATTTCCTATCACTATCCATCACACACATTTTTAAAATAGCTATTCCCACTGTATAATGCAATAATTACGACTGCATCGTTCACAATAGTTTTAAAGAAAAGTGCCTGCTGTTAAGAACACGTGTTTAATGTTCAGGATTCATTTAACATTCATTAACTAGGAACTTCCATCTCATAGTTAAGAATAAGGAGTTTTCTAGATACAATAAATTGATTTCCTCAATTTATGGATTGACTGACTAATGTCCCTGATCTACATCTCTTGAACAAGGTACCTTGAGTTGAAAATCCAATTTAATTTTTTAGGAAATTCTGAAAGATACTTAATTTGCTGCCACATCTGAAAACACTTCTTCAAATAGGTTTTTCCATTTGCTTCAGCACGACAGAATGCAGTATACTTGATAAATGTTACAAATTAATCTATAAACTGTAATACACCTCATGATCCAAGATGTACATTGTTTGAAAAAAAAATCAATCATGACTGGATTATGCTTTTATGAATGTCTAGTCATTCTCGGAATTTAGTTCAAACTTATTAATGGAAAAAAAAATAGTTATTTTCCTGTCAGATCCTAAAGCTGCCTATGGTTTTCTATGTCTTGGGAAGCAGGTATTTTCCTTACTGATATACTTTCTTCACAATTCAGCTTTAAGCCCCACAGTTTTCTGACTATATGAAGTGGGTACGCACGTTACGTACCAAAGTGTTCACAGCAAATGTTATTTCTTCTGCTTCAAGTAAGGGTTCACGAGTCAGCCAGGTTGCCTTGGGACAGCCACAGCGGTTCTAACCTCAGCGGCTCACCTGACCAGGGGCTGACCTTCTCCTCTCCAAGTACAGCTTGTCATTTTATAGAAAAATCAAAATGCGTGCAAGTTTCCTCGATATTACACAGCTCAACTGTCCTTGAAGAACAGATGGGAAGATGGTCAGGAACAGGAACTGTTTTGTTAACAAACTTCTGTAAATCTTAATGAAAGGAATTTTACGTTTTTATTTGTGTTGTTCCTTCACAGCCCTGAGTTATGGTTTGAAAAATATCAAACCATCATA